AAGATTTAAAGTGTATGACACTTTACAATCATTATGGTACAAACACACACACATTTCTGCCCATATACAGAGAGTAATAATAAACTAAGTATGTTACATGATTTAAACACTGCTTTGTATTTTCCAATAAAAGATTAGTCACGTAAAACCCGAGATGATATTCACCACTTCATAGAGATACCAAAACAAAACAAAACAAAAACACCACTCCACCGTTAACAAGTATGAGTATAGAATAAAAATTTTAAATTAGAGGCTTACTATTTGCAGATCAACAGTTCCCAAACATTTCAATCCTTCAAAACTCTCTGACCCTTTTAGGAAGGGGAAAATGTATACAATTTAGAAATAATGATCTATAAAGAAGAACTATAATTAAATGCAATGGTTCAATAACGTGAAACACACACCAGCACTCTCTTCCACAAGAGGTCTATAGACAAAGTATTCATGATACACTCAATATTGAAAAGTATTTTTCAAAAATATGAATATTTATAATCGAAGCAAAACATGGGCTAAAAAGGTAGTGTATCATTATAGAAATACTTGGGAATACTCTACTCACACTTGTATTTTATTCTTTCCTAATAGAACCCCACATTCAATGTGCATCACAATAACAAACTAAGTGACAATTCGAAGAAAACTGAGAAATGCCTGATCACAAATTTTAACCTTAATGTTGACATCCTAATTTAAAAGCTGGATATTCTTGTGCTACAATTAATGAACCATGGAACCATTAAAGTCATTTGACCTTACAATGTCACTTCAAGAATCTTTATTGCACAGTTTTCACATTTCTTAGTATTTGCTTCGATGCAAAATACTTGACAGAGTTGATTCAGTATTTTTGATGTGCTATTTCTAAAAAAGGTAAACATTTTTGAATTAAGGATATGGACAAATATCAATTCAGATTAGGCTGCTGAAAGTTTAAACTATTTCTTTCACGTTGACAAAATGTGTCATTTTATAAGACACAGTAGTGCCCAATAAAACAAAAATAAGATTTTAAAAAGCTAGGAAGTAAAAGAGTCCCAATCGGCAACCGTGTAAAGGGAAAACAGGATTACATTTATTGGTTACTATATCAACTTAACTTCTCATAAAATCCTCCTAATCTATTAAATAACTTCAGAACTGAAGTATGCTCTCCTATGGGAGTTGTAAAACAAATTAGATACAATTACCATTCAATACAAATAAAAAGCCAACCTATTTACCCTTAAGATGATTCTTGTTTTAAAGCCTTATTATTCAAATTCGGGGTGCCTGGGTGGCGCAGTCGGTTAAGCGTCCGACTTCAGCCAGGTCACGATCTTGCGTCCGTGAGTTCGAGCCCCGCGTCAGGCTCTGGGCTGATGGCTCAGAGCCTGGAGCCTGTTTCCGATTCTGTGTCTCCCTCTCTCTCTGCCCCTCCCCCGTTCATGCTCTGTCTCTCTCTGTCCCAAAAAAAATAAATAAACGTTGAAAAAAAAAAGCCTTATTATTCAAATTGGACTAGAATTTTCCCTAATGAATCAAGTGGGCCACTTGACTTAATTATAGATTTTTATATTATATTTTCTATAGAGAAAAGTAGTTGATATGAATAAATTCTGGAAAACTGTGGTAACTACACCTCCCCAAAGTGAATACAACAAACATCTGTTGCAAAAACTGCTTGGCTTTCAGACAGTACATAAAGGGTTTCTTTTTCCCAGTGTTTTGCTATTAAAAAAAAGATTATTTATTAAAAAACATGTTTCTACTATCAATTCTCAAGATGTAAAATCTTAAAAGGCTGTTGAGTTAAACACAGGTCATTACCAGGTTTATTACAGAAGGCGAACTATGCAATGTACAAGACTCTACTTGCGTTCTAAAAGGGTAACAAAATAATTGGGCATGTTGCCCTCTGTGGGTTAGAAAGTAATTTTAACCATTGTCTTCCTTTCTTAACTCCATTCTCTACACAAACATTGCAACACTCATAGCAGAGGAGGGGACTAAATATATAGAGCCTCCAGAGATTTTCATTCTCTGGTTGGAATCCCCAGGATAATTCCTCTTTCTCCTTTGGATCTCACCAGCTTCTAAATGCAACAACATTCTGTTATCCTCATTAGATGATAAATGAATTTTTAAAGTTTTACTCCAGTGACAGGGTAAATAATTACAGTTTTTTGTTTTTTTGTTTTTTGGTTTTTTTTTTGCATAATGCATTGAGCACAAAATGTAATAATTTCAATGGGAGGAGGGGAAGAATCAATGAGCCTTTATGACTCGTGGTCTTTTCTTAGCTGCATCAAAGAACTGTTCAGTGCTTTTGGTAAACTGAATGCATTTTCCTTGAATTCTGAAAGAATAGAATTTTGCCTCAAACTCACAGCTATTTTGCAAAGTAAAAACCCATCCTTTTTAGCATTTGGAGATTACATGAAGTGCACACGAATTAGCAGGTACAAACGAATAAAAATGTTTATAAGCAACAGAGCACAGGGGCATGTAATACCTTCACAATAAGGTAAGGAGGGGCAGTATACAGATGGCCACTTCTGAACATATTTCAAATGACACGTAAGTTCACTCACTTTTTAATCTTCTATCCCTCTTCTACGCAAACCTACTTCCAACCATTTTGAGATGATTGCTTATTAAAAGTCTAAGATTCAGTTTTTATAATTCCACTTTTATGCGAACTTATTAAAAAGATACTGATCCCTAAAACATTCCTAGGAGTATTTCAACAAGGCATCGTAACACACTATTCTGAGAAACCTCTTTGTCATATAAGCCACGAGAAAAATAGAAGCTTCCTTTTCTTTTTCTGCCAAATCCAACGTATGGGCACTTCATTATGTTTCGACAAGCTTCAAGATCTATAACAGAATTTGTCTATGTCTTTAATTAAAATCTAAAATGTTAACGTCCACCTGTATAGTATATGTTTATATAACCACAGGGACAATACCTTAAACAGTCCTCAAAATGGTATTTGCAAATTCCATTATAAGCAAAAGTTTTGAGGAAAAGTCATTTAAAATTGATATAAATAGAAAGGAAAGTCAGTCATACATGATCCAGGATATACAAATTTTGAATAATTTTCAAATCATTCTGTTTATTCTACATTTACAGCCTCTGTCTCACTAAAAGATGAATCATAAAAAGATATTTGCCCGTCTCTTAGGAAAGATACTGGCGAAAACACACAAGGCATATTCCGAAGCAATTAATTGTTAAAAGCTTCCTTTCTTCAATGTGACAGTCTTCAATTTCCATGGAGGATTACCCTGAGTTATCTATCTGGTTTCAAGAAAACATTAGTTTCAATTTTATGATGTCTAAGGAAAACAGTGTCTTAAAATTAAAAGAAAAAAAATCAGCTATTGTACATAACTTGAATAAAGTGATTTGATGTTATAACGTCACTTGTAGATGTATTTCCTATGTTTTATTATAGATGTATTACATATTATTTATGTACAAAACATTATATTGTCTATTTGTATTCTGTACTGCATACATATATTTCCCACAATGAATCTCAGAACAATGCATCTTCAGCAAGTATCTTATAATTTATAATACTCCTAACTGTCTACGATTAGATACTATTATATCTACTCTACAAGCAGGAAAACTGATGCTGAGAAAGTAAAAGATTTACCCCACCCAAGTCTTAAGAACAGATCAGGAAGGCGCGACAAGTTCAATGCTGAAGATCTGCACATTAATGACTCTGAATACTGCTTTGTTTCTATCTTTATTACTTACTAGTATTTATATTTCACAAAATCTAAAAGGGAAAAAGGTGCATGCTGACTACTTAATGATAAACGAAGCAACAAAAAATGGGCACGAGTTCTATTTAGTAAGAAAACCTTGCCTTCTTTACTATTTTCCTAAGACTTAAATGAAAACTGTCTTGATATAGTATCTCTTCTACTGCTTAGTACTTTAAACTTCAAAGTAAATTATCTAAAACCACCCCACTCACTTACTTAGAAAAAAAAAAAAAGCCCGCATTATTCCCATTTTACTGATGGGAAGACAAGCAAAGGAACAGAGCTTTTTGCCTGGGTCCCACATTAAGTGTGAAACCAGTCTGGAGTTAGAACATCTTAGGTGTTTGACTCCTCATCCAGTGTTTCAGACTACAGGGCAGTGTTATTCCTACTAATTATAATATCCTGAAGTCACTAAAAGAAGCACATAATTTTCTGAAGAAGGGGAGAGAAACCTACCTTGAAAGTTACAGGTGTAAAGGAATACATAAAAAGTCTTTATTTCACTGAACTTTGGTTAAAATTCACAATTCAAAATTTAAAAATTATTCCCATATCTTATTCCTTCCGTATCCATGAATCAGAAGCTCTTCTGGGTGAGACACTGATTTTTTTTCGGTCCAGAACTAGACTCATGTTTTTATAGGAGAGATACACACTAAGAAATGAAATTCAATGAAGAAGATAAAGAACGGGTCCATATTAAAGTGTATTTGGTGGCATGGAACTTGCAAGATAAGACATCAATTTTCAGCCTGGCTGGTTACAGAATAGGACTCATTGCTTCTAGTCAACAGTGAGCATTTCAGAGGGACAAGAACATGACATCTGAGGGCAAGTGATGCATGGTGACACGCATGAGGCATTCCTTGAAAAGCTGGAGAAAAGGAGAATGAACTAAGTAAGCTAGCGGGGTAAGAAATGCTAAATCACCAAGCCTGTAGCCTTTTAAAGCAGATGAGAAAAAATATTCAGAGAAGTCCTTCAACTTTTGCTAAAGTTAAAAAAAAAAAAACACAATGATGCTTTCCAAGTGGAGAAAGGTATATAAACAATAATTTCTATAGATTGATATAGTCTTTCTACTTTCTCAGAAAACTAGGGTTTCGTGTTGGAAAACACCACAACCAGCATATTCCTAATTACAGACAAGTTTTCAGATTCCAACGTGGCAGCAAAACCACAGCACACAAGACAAAGGCTTGTCACGTTCATGAGACATACCTCTTGGACTGATCGAGCAGCTGGCTTGTCTTGATGATTGGCCAATATTAAAAAGGGTAAAGTGCATAACTGTGGGTGCTGGAGAGCTGAGTGCAGTTCATTCCTAGCAGTTTCTAAATCATCTTCTGAAGAGGCACTGTCTAATACAAATATTACCCCTTGAGATCCTTGGTAGTAGCGGCTCCAATATTTCCGGATATTATCAGCCCCTGTCAAAAACAAAACAAATTCTCTTTTTAAAAATAGCTTTCGGCAACTGAAAAATACTCAACAGTCCTGTTGGTGTTCCCAACACTAATTCCTACTGGAAACCAATGTAGTTTTTAAAAATTAAGGGCAGAGAACATGGTTGATGAGGACCAAGGCATGAGAGCCAACCAGGTGGATGTGGTCTTGAAAGAGAACACCCAAGTTTATCAGTCATTCTTTATACCTTTCTTATCAAAATATGTGAGAAAGAACTAGGATAGTTGTTTTGATTGAAAGTCAACATTTTTTTCAGATTTTGCTTACTAGTCCTAAATAAAAACTCCACTCTTTATAATCAGAGTTTGAGCCTAACTCAGAGAGTAGTGTAACCCAGCTAGCTGTTCACTGAAGCTTTATCCCAGACAATGAACATGATCCTGAGGACAGTTTCTAAAAGAACTACTTGCTGATCATGACAATAAGGCATGACAGCCTTATTTAATTTCATCTAGAAAGTGAAAACTACTAGCACAATATTTTTATGTATCAAAGTGCTGAAATCTGTGATGAATTAAATACTTGATACATTTGCATAAACCCACTTGGCAATGGGCATACTCATGGTCTTGATATGATGGGAGTGTTCATAAAAAGACATGGAGGTTCTCAGCATCCAAGGCCACGTCTTATTCCTCTTTGTATTTTCAACATCCAGCATTATGTATAACTCAAGGTTCAGTACAGGAAAGAGGAAAGTGAGGGAAGGAGGAAATGAAATTATACACTAATTAGGCTTTATGGATTTTCAGACTAGAAAGACCTGTAAAGACTATCCAGTCCAACTGTCTGAGGAATCTGGGGCCAAGAGAGGTGAAGTGACTAATCCCCATTCATGTGTCTAGTAAATCTCAAAACTGAGATTTGCATCTGAGTAGACAACCTGTCCAGGGAGGGCATGGGCATTCCCTACTACATCAGGATAAGTGTTTCATTTATTTCCATTCTATTCATCAATAGCATGGGCAGTCCATGGTGTGTGTGTGTGTGTTTGGGGCATGGGACTATTGGTTATACAACAAAAATTAGATAAAGGTATTTCATTAATTTAGTGTATATGAGCAAGTCTTATTAACCAGTTAGTAACTACATGTTAGCCCTCCATTGAATATTTAGCTCCTATATTGGATATACTGCACTAAGTGTTAGGAATAAAGGACTGGAGTTGGTGTGCACTAACTGACAAGAGCCAAATATGTGCATCTCTTTCCAACTCTGTATTCAATGATGCCATACTGGTAGCTTCAAACTGGATAGGGTGGGAATATTTTCACCATCAAAATCAACGAAAGCTATCATCAGGTCTTTTCTTCCCCTAAGGGCCAACACACCACTGGAGGGCACTAAGAAGCCCATATTTTTCTGTGAGAAATAGAAAAAAAAATAATAAAGTAATAAAGCTCTGTAGAGAGGTACTCATTAGGCGTCATGAGCACAAGAGATGAGGCATCTCAACCAGGCTGGGCAATCCTCTTAAAAAATAATAGTTACCAAACAGCTACCATTTATTAAGCACTTCCTACATTCCAGGCACGGTGCTAGGTGTTTTCAAAAGAACAGCTCATAGAATTCTTACAGCCACCCCAAGAGGGAGGTATAATTGATTCAGGATTTAAACTTAAATTTCAGATTTTATTTTTTTTCAACGTTTATTTATTTTTGGGACAGAGAGAGACAGAGCATGAATGGGGGAGGGGCAGAGAGAGAGGGAGACACAGAATCGGAAACAGGCTCCAGGCTCTGAGCCATCAGCCCAGAGCCCAACGCGGGGCTCGAACCCACGGACCGCGAGATCGTGACCTGGCTGAAGTCGGACACTCAACCGACTGCGCCACCCAGGCGCCCCAAATTTCAGATTTTAAAATCCAGGGTATCCATCATAATCCTATACTGAAATACCCAGCTATATAAGAGCATCAAGGATATTTAACGTAGAACAACCTTAAATATGTAAAAACATGGGATGTGAACAGGGTTAATGCAGATCAGGCAACTTTCAACCAAGAAAACAGTACAAAACAAAACAATTTAAGCCACAGATTTAATATAGGTAGTTAGTTACATAAGTGATGGTCTAACTAAGAAAACAACAGAGCCACTGAAATCAGCAACACTTTAAGCCAGGTTCCCCAGGCACAGAGTCTGAGACCGCATTTCTTGAACACCTGATTATAGACAGTGCTGTCAGGAGAAACCTGGAGTGAAAGAAGCAAGCTAGAATTGGGGAAGGGGCTTGGCAAAGATCTGGTTTCAAAAATCTACCCTCAGCTTGATCCAATGAGGAGCTCTAGAGCATGGACTCAACCACAGAAGTTGTCCAGTCCAAAGACAAGGAGGCTGGGCTGCTATACCCCGGTACAGTCATTGGCTATGAGCCACCCCTAGGGAACAGGAGGGGGTAGGGGTGTGATCTCATACTCTCCCAGACATATTTGGTTGAGGCAATTACTGTCAGCCAAGGGCAGGCCTCTGGAGAAGGGTACAGGTGTGAGTCATTAGCAGCCAATACTCGAAGCAGCTGGGAGATGGATGCACTGGCCCAGTAAAGGAGATCTGGGTAGGATACCAACAGCATCTGCTACAAGCTACATCCAGACATTATCCATATGCTAGAGAACCATCCATAAGTTTGAGGAGCAAAAGTAGCAGCAGTGTTACCTGATGGTAAATGTTTAAGACAATAATAATGTGTGTGTATATATCTGTACATAAATTTATTACAAATTTTACTAAAAGGTGTGTAGCACACAATTTTCATATAATATACACAACATGCTTTACAGTAAATTCTATAGAGCTCATTAATTCTCACAAAATGCTTTCACTGATTTTGCCCAACTTCTGTAATCATAGCCAACCAACAGTTGCAACTGACCAAGCGCAGTTCCAAAATAAATGGTGGTGGTGCTAAGTGTTTTTACATGTATTAACTCATTTACTCTTGACCATCTTAAGAGGTAGGTATTGTTATGGCTCTCATTTTATCAACAATAAAACTAAGACATGAAACAATCACACAATGTGGCCAAGGTTACACACCTAAAATATTTATCTAGGTCTAATGTGATTGAAATAGAAGGATCATTGACTGGAAAGGTGATAAAACTCAACAAAAAACTCTACTACCACATAAGCCAAGAGGGGGGGGAAAAGCAACTTATCAAAATAAAAGGTACCTAACATTTCTAGCCAATTAATTAAATGAATATTTTTAAGTACTCTTCTATACAAGTCACTAAGCAAGGACCTATAAGAAATATTTAAAAATCCATGATTACCTTAGATCAAACCCACAAATTCTTTAAAGTAATAGTTACTACAACAAGGCCTGTAAATACATCTTAATAAATATGGCCATAGCATTAGAGGGGTGCAGAGAATTAAGTATAAAGAGAAGAATACTGGTTGAATGTTTCAGTGGAAATTTTCTATTGGAAATACACGGGACATATTCGAAATCTAACTCATGAGGGTCTTTTTCAACAAGAAACTATTTCCATCTGCCACATTTGGGAGCACAATAAGACACCAGAAAATGGTAAGACAAAATGACCTTAAGTCCAATGACTGTTGACGGATGAAACAAATCCAAAGAGAAATGCTGGAATTTCTTAAAACATCCATTCTATGATATACTATGTGGATGATAACTTATTAGTAATGAAAAGACCCTTTTCCTTAGTCTCCTGCCACACAGCTATCTGTCCAATCTTTCTAATGTTCATCACAAACACTGGGCTTGGAATCTGAAATTCCAGGTCAGCCTTTTGCACAATGGCTTTGGTCATCAGGGCTTCTGGATGAAACCCAGAGTACCCCAGGAAACCAGGAATGGGGTGAATGGTAGTATCAGGTTGGTTGGCCCAGCTGAGAGGACCTTAGATGAGCCACCAGATTAAAATGAGAAATAGACAGGTCATTAACCCAGCTGCCAGATGCTCTGAGAAGTGAGCCTAACTGGGAAAACTAGGAACAGAGTTTGATGTCCACATCCCAACAGGCCTCGCCCATAAACCAAGTCCAAGGGGAGTAACACACGCAGGGCATCACATCACATCATAAATGGTCTGGGGCCACTCATTTTAATGACTGAATAGCGCATGCTCTGTGTCACTTAAATTGGTATATAAAGAGGTTAAACACCAAATCCAAACCTGGCCTGTATTTTGTATTCAGATTAAAAAAAAAAAAAAGGGTGTATTAACAGTAGAGAGGTTGGGGAGGTGAGGGTGTTACCCAGTCTCTGAATTACCCAAAGTCTGATACTGCCTTACTGAAGGTTGTAAGGAGCCCTTGGTATCCTAAGAGTTCACTCAGAAAGCCAATCAACCAGGAGAGCCTGATTCAAGCTACTACAAGAGAAAAGATAGAAGATGGGAGCATAATGTCTCTTCATTATGCAAGGTTCTTTTATATGGCACACTATGGACAACTATGGCAACATTCTCTTATTTATTAATTCCTCTAATGGATGTTTACTGAACACCTGGCACCATCCCAGGCACTGGGGACATACTAGCAAACAAAACAGACAAAAGCTTCAGTCTTCATAGTGCTTACATTCTTTATCAGCAGGGCCAGCCTACCAGTATAGAGGTTAAAAATGCCAAGTATTTGTTTTTCAAGCTCTCTCTTGCAGCATGGACAGATGACTCAGTTTTGGCAAACTGGGATTCAACACAGGTCTGCCGGGAGCTTTTGGGAAAAACTGTGCCCCTCAAAAAAAGGGAGATGCTCAAAGAGAGTCACTTCTCTCTTCTAGCTTTTAGATTCCATTAGATGATAACCTTCCCAGCAATCTTGAAGAAGACATACCAACACATGAGGAGGTCACAACAGGAAGACAGAAAGCCTGGGTCCTTGAGAACATCGCTGAGCAGCGGTACCAACCACTTATTGTAAGAACTCTTTATTTTGTGAACATAGTGAATGCCTAATTACTCGTGCCGATTTCAAAGACTAT